GAAGAGGGGGGAAGGGGGGTTGCGGGGCGGGGAGTAATAGGGAAAAAAGGACAACCTTTCATGGTAGCGAAGCAGTGGGGGTAAGAATCGAAGAGGAGGAAGAGCCACCAAGCGCACAACCCTTTAGGAGAGAGGACGAAGCTGTGCACAGCAAGGCTGCCGAGCAACGACGAAGGCAGTCGAGACCAGAAGGAAATGAGCTATCAAAGGAGGGAGGTCAGGCGGAAGAGGAGAGGGGGAATAAAAAACAAAAGCAAACGAACGGAACCGGTCGAAAAGAGAAGAAAGAAAGAGAAGAACATGGAGTAAAAGGTAGACAGGGAAAAAAATTCTGACTTTATAATATGATGAAAAATTTTGAAAACGATTATTTCCCTTTAAAAAAGGGAGAGAGAGAGAGAGAGAGAGAGAGAATGATAGACAGAGAAGAACGCAGACAGAGGGAGCAAAGAGAAGAGGAAAGTAAGCACGGGGGCCCAAGTCCCACTAGCAGCGTTGAGTTTCCTCAACGCCTGAATCTGGCTGGACGTGTTCCTGGAGATGTGCGGTTGAGGAAACTCAACGCGATGTCTGCACACTTCCTCAAACACGTCCAGATTCAGGCGTTGAGGAAACTCAAGGCTGCGAGTGGAACTTGGCCTCGGGGGGAAAAGCCAGAAGAGAAAAGGAGAGAGAAGATGAAAAAAGCACAGGTGGACATGATGGGGGCGACACCCACTGTCGAAAGGTGACTGAGGGCCTAGTTGCACTGCTCGCCATCTGCCAACATACATTTTGAATGCATCTGGACATCCTGTTGTCCAGATGCATTCAAAATCTTGGTGCATTGCGCAGTAGTGCAACTAGGCCCTGAAGAGGAGAGGGCGAACAGACAGATGAGGAGACGAAAGGAAGACAACAAAAAGGGGAAGGGAGAGGGGGGAGAGGGGGAAGAGGGGGAAGATGGGGAAGATAGAAAGAGGAGGGAGGGGGGGGGAGGGAGGAGGGCGGAGGGAGGAAAGGGGAGAGGAGGCATATCCTTCTCCTCCTCTTCCCTCCCCTTAGGGTCTCTCTCTGTCTCTTAAATCTCACCACGAGGCCGTCGGCGTAATCCTTGAGAGCTGGACTCGCATTGATATCAGCGACGGTGAATATATCATATTGCCGTAGTAGCATCGCCTCTCTGCGGAGCTCTGGACTCGGCGGTGGCCACAACAGGCACCAATCTACTACTACTACTACTCCTCCTACTCCCACTCCACCGCAGGAGTAGCGCAACTCGTAATTTCTGAGGCTGACTGGGGCTGTGCTCCAGCGATTCATCACTTGCAAAACCTTGTTGCCATCTGTGTTCTGTACGATTTGATAGAGGATCAAGGAGTCGTAGGTGCCGCCGTTGTCGGATTGGGGGGGGGTATCGTCGCCAGAGACGGGGGAGGCAAGCGAAGAGGCGAGCGGCTGAGCGCGGGCGAGAGTGAGAGGAGCCGTTGAAGCTCCAGGGATTGGGAGAGGGAGGAGGATGGACAACAGAAGCGTCGCAATGGAGATAAGAAAACAGTAATGTGGGCGAACTGAAGAGGGAGATGACAGACGACAGGGAGAAGGAGAGAAATGAGAGGAGGGAGAGGAGCAGGAAGAGAGAGAAGAGGGAGAAGGGAGAGGAGGATGAAGAAGAAGAGAGAGAAGAAGGTTGGACGGCAGGGGGCAAGAAGCAGCAGAAGCACATCGATTCGAACAAGAAGACGGAGGAGAGAGAGGAGGAGGAGGAGGAGGAGGAGGAGGAGGAGAGAGAGGGAAGGAGGAGGAGGCAAGGCCGAGTGTCCTCCCATTTTTCCATCCCTGAACTTTACTACTCTCTCCTCCTCCTCCTCCTCCTTCTCCCCCTCCTCCTCCTCCTCCTGCTCCTGCTGCTGCTGTTTGGCCTCTTCTTCCTTCTCCTTCCCTAACGATAACAACCGACAGTGGCTCCGTTCTACTACCACTACTACTACTACTACTACTACTACTACTACTACTACTAGTAGTAGTAGTAGTAGAGAGCTTCTGCTCTTCGATCTGGTGAGAGGGTACTACCTCCCTACACTCATCTCCCTTACTAGTATAACCTATCACCAAACCCCCCGTCGCCTGCATTCCATTTCGGAAAGAGGGGAGGCGGAGGGTCCTACCAGAAGTGG